TGAGGGTTTGTGATGGTGGTACTGCTTCTATGATCTCTCCACCCCCACCCCCCATCACACACTCATCTACTCAGCCCCTCTTCTCCCCAGTGAGAGGAACCTATGGTCGAAGGAAATGCAACACGCTACCTGTGGATACAAAACTGGACGTGGTCACAATGAGAACATAGGTCCCAGGGCTGCAGTGCACACCTTCTTTCTGTCTTCTGTCATTAAGTGATGGAAAGAGATGCAAATAGCTAAAAACCCACAAAAATCTCTTCTACTCACAACACATTCCTTGTCATCTAATGATACTAAATAGATTGGACCACATTTTACATCCACAATCTTATGAAGTCCTGCAGCTGAACAGAGTGCTGCAGGAATTGAAGAGGAGGAAAATTAAGAATAGAATAACTACGCTGTAAAGTCTGTAGGGTCATCCTAGCAAAGCGCAAGGTATCTTGGGGAACTCAGGTGCTCCTCCATTCATCACAGGATGGGTCTGAGGTTGGCCCCGGAGCAGACGACCACAAGGTGGCTTCCAGGGCTCACAGGTAGGACCCCCAGGGTCCGTGTTCTTGAGAGAAACACCCAGCAAGTGGAGAAAGGCATGGGTGCCCCACATGCTACTGCGGGACCTGCACTCCTCAGCCAACCCCTGCTGTCTCTCTTCTCTCAGCTGAAAAATTAGGAACAGCCGTTCTGAATGTCTCACAAGGTGATCATGGGGATAGATGGAGACTGGGAGTCAGAGGGACGTGGAGCTGGAAAGAGCCTTATTATTATTGTGCATTCTCCTCTCTTGGTGGTGAAGACACAGAGGTTCCAGAACAACACTTCTGTGTGTGGTGCTACACGTACGTGAAAAATGAGAAACAGAGACAATGGATGACACATTGGAGACAATGAAGATGTAGAGAACAACGGATGGACACCAAGGAGGAAAGCGCCAGGGGGAGGATTAACTGGCAGACTGAGGTTGACATACGTACACTATTGATACTGAATATAAAATAGATAACTGATGAGAACCTACGGTCGAGCACAGGGAACTTACTCAGTGCTCTCTGGTGACCTCAACGGGAAGGAAATCCAAAAGAGAGGGGATCTATGTATACATATAGCTGACTCACTTTGCTGTAGTCGCTCAGTTGTGTCCTCCTCTTTGCAACTCCATGGACTGTAGCCTGACTGTCTCCTCCGTGGGCTTCTCCAGGCAAGAATACTGGCGTGGGTTGCAATTCCCTCCTCCAAGGGATCTTCCCAACCCAGAGATCAAACTCTAGCCTCCTGCATTGCAGGCAGATTCTTTACCGTCTGAGCCACCAAGGTAGCCGATAAAATAGAAAGCTAATGAGAACCTACTGCATCACACACTCAATGTTCTCAACTCTTCTCAATGTTCTGTGGTGACTAAATGGGAAGGAAATCCAAAAAAGAGGGAACTATATGTATATATATTCGCTTTGCTATACAGCAGAAATTGACCCAACAATGTGAAGCAGCCATACTCCAACAAAAATTAATTAAAAAAATGAAACCTCCTGGCATCTGCTCCAGACTTGAAGCAAAATCCCAGGGTCCACTCATGCATTGCATATTGGCCCTTGGATGGCTGCATGAGTGAGTAAAAGCTCAGGGCAGGAGAGAGAACAGGCACCGCCCTCCCATGCGGTCAAGAGGTGGTTTGGCAGGGATCCCCAAACCACCCACAGAACCACCCACAGATGCTTGTCTGACCACAGCTTCCTAGTCCCCATCACCTCTCCCCAAACCAGCCACACCCACCCTGACCCGTGGAGCCCTGTGCAGCCCTGGACCCCACAAGCGAGACTGGGCTCCCAGCTGAGTGCCTCTGCGAGGGCCATTTCCTCTGCAGGAAAATGGGGGCTGTCACCTCAGGAACCAGCTGGGGCACCCTCCCTGGCTGTGTCCTGTGCTATCCAGCCCTGCGTCCATGCCTGCTTCTCCCACTGGCAAGGGCCTTTTATCACCTGAGGCACAGATACATGAATGAAAGAAACAGCAGAGTGTAATCATGCTTACAAAAACTTTCCCATAGCGTTGAACACTCCTGCCTTTGCAAATCATACCCAGATTCCCATTCTACAGAAGGAAGATGTTACGGAGCTGAGTCACAAACACCAGTTCTCTCTCCTCTGAAAGGCTGAGTGCCATCACCCAGCTCAGCTGGTCTTCCAGAGGATTTTTATTAGATTCTACACAGTCCATGTACTTCCAGGCATGGGTGCTCCCAGAATGGTCACCCCTTCTTCCTTTTTTCCTTTTCCACACTTTCTACTGGTTTCTGGAATGGTCTATGATAAACACAGCTTGTAACAAACCTTTCAAAAGGAACTTCTCTAAATGTCATCCCCGCTCAGCAATGTACACATAAAAATTTTAAAACTGGCTCTCAGGCAAGGAGAGTGGGGAGGAGACCTGATTTTTAGCATTTGCCTGTAATATTTGTAAAATCTGTAAATATTTTCACCACAGCCAATTTCAATCTACTTATGTGTCCTTATTGAACTCAGAGGTGGGAACAGACACAGAAGCTCATCTCAGTATTTTTACTACACAGATGCAATAGATGCTAAGGACTCCTGGAGGAGAAAAGGCAGAAGGTTTGATGAAACTGTTAGGAATCAATGAGTTTTGAGAGCTGACCATCTTTGTTTTTAATATCATTTAATAATTGGCTCACAAAATTCCTGGGGGCTTCTCAGGTGGCTCAGTGCTAAAGAACCCGCCTACCAGTGTAGGAGACACAGGGCATGTGGATTCAATCCCTGGGTCAGGAAGATCCCCTGGGGGGAGGAAATGGCAATCCACTCCAGTATTCTTGCCTGGAAAATCCCATAGCCAGAGGAACTGGGCAGGTACAGTCCATGGGGTCACAAGAGAGTCAGGCATGTCTAAGCGACTGAGCTCCCACGCACAGAGTTCCTGAACATTGGCAAGGGAGCTGCAGGAACTGGGGTACCTCACCCCTCCCAGAGGAAGTCTATTCTGCAAGGGTATGCATGCCAGGGTTCCTGGTTGTTCTGACACCTGGAGGGCTTCAGGGTCCTTTAGATAGATGCAGAAGGACAAGTTCAGACTTTCGAGGAGGGTGCCATGTGGCTACCAGACAGCAGGTGTCTGTATGGCAGTGACAGGTGCACGTGGGTGTCAGTCCTGCTGGTGAAGGCTCAGCTTCGGGGACAGGGTCTCCAGCACTGCTGGCTTTCAATGCCCAGATGACAGAATGGTGATGATAAACCTGGTTTGCTGTCCTGTTACACACATTCACATGTCTTGACTTTTATCTTAGGTACCCCACTTTTTAAGACTCTACACCATGATGTCCAAGCTCCAGGATCCATCAGGCTCAGAGGCTTTCGCTTCACAGGTGAGGGTGCTGAGGTTCAGGGGAGGGTGCGAGCTCCCAGGGGAAAATGACAGGGGCTGGTAGCCAGGTCTTGTCTTTTTATAAAACCACTTGCTTTTCAAAGTGCTGAAGGTACTCGATTTTATTTGCTTGCTCATCTGTACAGGCACTGACTCATTTCCAGAGGCCTAATAAGATTCATCCTCCGTGATTTATGGAAACCTCTGTGCAGCCTGTTCAGTTCTGGAGGTGACACGGAGTGGCCTGGCTGCATCTGACCAGCTGCCTGTGTTTAAGCCTTGCCTGGTGGTAGAAGGGGTAGAGCTCACAGGCTCCAAGTGTGCTGCTGTGTCAGTGAAAAACCTAAGAATGACCTGTGAGCTGGGCGCTCTGAATGCCTCAGTTTCATGATGAGAAACCGAGGTTAAGAGTCCATGGGACATTAGTCGGGCTGGCTTCACAGGCACACAGTTGGGAGCCCTACAGGAACCTGTGTGCAAAGGGCCAGCCTTGGTTTCCTGCTCCCCTGTCGCTGTCTTGGAGGTCTTCAGAGTTGTGTTTTTGATTCTGTGTATTCTAAGTGAAGCTGGAAGGGAGACCAGGACCATGGAGCGTGTGCTCCAGCAGAACAGAGGTGGAGAATATGTGGGCCCTAAGTGTGACCACGAGTCCTTGCTGCTCGTCCACGTGCGGCAGCTGAGTTTTTGTGTGGAAGTTTTCAACTTCCCTGGCGACTCAGATGCTAAGAAGTCTGCCTGCAATGCAGGAGACTCATGTTTGATCCGGGTTGGGAAGATCCCCTGGAGAAGGAAATGGCAGTCCTCTCTAGGATTCTTGCCTGGAGAATCCCATGGACAGGGGAGTCTGGCAGGCTACAGCCCATGGGGTCAGAAAAGAGTCAGACACAATTTAGCAACTACAACAACAACATCAACAACATAGAATGTATAAACCCAAGAGCGAACCCAAAGGTTAACTATGGACTTTGGGACATTATGATGCATCAATGTAGGTTCATCGGATTGTAACAAATATATCATCTGGGGGGATGCTGATAATTGGGGATGCTGTGCATGTGTGAGGCAGAGGGTATACAGGAAGTCTCCATATGTTCTGCTCAATTTTGCTGGGAACCTTAAGCTACTCTAAAAGTCTGAATTAAAAAAAAAAAGTAGAACAGAAAGAAGAAAAGAAAAGAAAAGAGAATAACGACCACAAATTCCTCCAAAGTGGAGGCCTGGAATCTGAGACTCAGTCTGTTAGCTCCAGAGTTCATGTCTCTCACAGCGACCGCCCTCTACAGTTTACAAAGGGTCTCCCCATACTGTCAAGTCAGTGCCATATGGATTTCAAATTAAATGTCCAGTTCTGACCTCCGGTGCACTGAAAAGAAACTTTTCACAGCTCGTAAATCGTTAGCACCTGCTATAATAAAGTAAGCATTAGTGTTTAAGTCTCCGAGCAGAGGTCAGGAACTGAAATCCCCCGCTGCGCCCTCAGAGCGCTCTTGTAGGTATGAATGCAGTGAGATGTGTGTCGGAGAAAGAGATGGAGCCAAAGGCTGATGGCGGGGAGCACGGAATCCAGGACAAGAAACCTCATCTGCCCTCCCTCAGGGGGGAGTCTGGGTGCTGCGGAGACCATGACAAGAAGCCAACTTAGTTCTCTTCCTGAGAAGGAAACGTCTGACCTCAGCACGTTCCTGTTCCCGCACTTGTTAACTGTGGCCAAAGCGCATGAACCAGGGAGCGAGTACAGTAACAACCCTGTGAGATGCAGGGTTCATGGAAGGAGTGTCCTTGGTCCCTCTCCTTGACTCTCCAGCCCTGAGGATAAAGAGTCGGTGGGTGGAACTCCACTGCTTGGTGGCAACAAGGCCAAGTCTGCCATGAAAGGAGCGACTTTTACTGAACAAATATCTACAGGAGCTACAGGAGGAATGTTCGAGCTGGCAACACAAAGGCGGACTAGATAACCTCTCACATCTCAGAGTCTTTTTTTTTAATTAATTAATTTATTTTGATGGAGGATAATTACCTTATAATATTGTGACAATCTTGCTATACATCGACACGAATCACATGTGCACATGTGTCCCCCCATCCTGAAGCCCCCTCCCACCTCCCTCCGCACCTCATCCCTCTGGGTTGTTCCAGAGCACCAGCTTTGGGTGCCCTGCTTCATGCATTGAACTTGCACTGGTCATCCGTTTTACATGTTTCAATGCTATTCTGTCAAATTATCCCACCCTCGGCTTCTCCCACAGAGTCCCAAAGTCTGTTCTTTACGTCTGTGTCTCCTTTGCTGCCCTACATGTAGGATCGTTGTTCAGTTCAGTTCAGTCACTCAGTCATGTCCAACTCTGCAACCCCATGGACTAGAGCACGCCAGGCTTCCCTGACCATCACCAACTCCCGGAGCCTGCTCAAACACATGTCCATCAAGTTGATGACGCCATCCAATCATCTCATCCTCTGTTGTCCCCTTTTCCTCCCACCTTCAATCTTTCACAGCATCAGGGTCTTTCCCAATGAGTCAGTTCTTTGCATCAGTGGCCAAGGTATTGAAGTTTCAGCTTCAGCATCAGTTCTTTCAATGAATATTCAGGACCGATTTCCTTTATGATCGACTGGTTTGATTTTCTTACAGTCCAAGGGACTCTCAAGAGTCTTCTCCAACACCACAGTTCAAAGGCAGCAATTCTTTGGTGCTCAGCTTTCTTTATAGTCCAACTCTCACATCCATACATGACTACTGGAAAAACCATAGCTTTGATTAGGCGGACCTTTTTTGGCAAAGTAATGTCTCTGCTTTTTAATATGCTATCTAGGTTGGTCATAGCTTTTCTTACAAGGAACAAATGTCTTTTAATTTCATGGCTGCAGTCACTATCTGCAGTGATTTTGGAGTCCAAGAAAATAAAGTCTGTGACTGTTTCCCCATCTATTTGCCATGAAGTGATGGGACTGTATACCATGATCTTAGTTTTTTGGATGTTGAGTTTTAAGCCAGCTTTTTCACTCTCCTCTTTCACTTTCATCAAAAAGTTCTTCAGTTCCTCTTTGCTTCCTGCCATAAAGGTAGTGTTATCTGCATATCTGAGGTAATTTATATTTCTCCCAGAAATCTTGATTCTAGCTTGTGCTTCATCCAACCTGGCATTTCACATGATGTACTCTGCATAGAAGTTAAATAAGCAAGGTGACAATATACAGCCTTGACGTACTCCTTTCCCAATTTGGAACCAGTCCATTGTTCCATGTCTGGTTCTAACTGTTGCTTCTTGACCTGCATACAGACTTCTCAGGAGGCAGGTAAGGTGGTCTGGTATTCCCATCTCTTGAAGAATGTTCCACAGTTTGCTGTGATCCACATAGTCAAAGGCTTTGGTATAGTCAATAAAGCAGAAGTAGATGTTTTTCTGGAACGCTCTTGCTTTTTCTATGATCCTCTCTATGAGGCTGAAGCTGCAGACCCCCAAAGGCTGAGGGGATCCCCTCCCCTGACAGCCGTCACCCCTCACCCATCCTGATATGCAGCTCAGCTGGATAGAGCAGGCACCTGGCCTCCACTCCTGGGAGACAGAGAATCTTTATTTACCTGTTTGTCAGGTTTGCTTGTGTTTCAGGTGGTGAGGAATCTGCCTACAATGCAGGAGAACTGTTCAATCCCTGGGTCAGCAAGATCCCCTGGAGAAGGGAATGGCAACCCACTCCAGTATTCTTGCCTGGAGAATCCCATGGACAGAGGAGCCAGGAGGGCTACAGTTCATGGGGTTGCAAAGAGCCTGACATGACTGAGCACACACACAGCACAAACAAGGGAAAGGCAGGACCTCTTGTAAGATCTGAATTATTCATCATCAGCTTCAAGGAAGCCACAAAATTGTTTTGACTTTGAGGTTCTCTGCCTGGGAGTAAATCTTCTCAAGCAGTCCAAAGCAGTTGGAAAAAAAGAAAACTGAACAAACAAGCAAAACACTCAGCCCACTGCAAAGGTCAAGGTTGAGTTCACATCCTCTTCTGAAATGTTGGGATCCACTAGAAACCAGCTTCAATAAGCCATGGTTCTGAATTCCCAGAAGAACACAGAACAAGTTGGTGAGCTAGTATGATCACAGGCTTAGGCCTTCCTGACTGGCATCAGAATTTCAGAACCCAGTAAGAGAATTTTCTACCCACTTCCAGTTATCAAAGACCTTGTCCAGGACAACAACATAATTAAAAAGTGCAGAGAAACCAACTGGTAATGCAAACCTCATTAAGTTGGCACAGCGTGACTCATGAGGAAAATTAAAAGGGCTCGAGGGTGTGCAGAGAGCTAAGGTCCTTCACAAAATGGAAACATTTTCACAGATTTTCAATTTTAATTTATTACCACAAATAGCAGTAGCACTGAATGCTGTGGGAGTCAACCCAGGCCTATGACAGTGGATGTGCAGTGCTAAGTCAGATCTGACTCTTTGTGACCCCATGGACTATAGTCCGCCAGGCTCCTCTATGGGAGCCTGTCTATGGGAATCTCCAGGCAAGAATACTGGAGTGATTTGCTATGTCCTTCTCCAGGGAATCTTCCCAACCCAGGGATTGAACCCACGTCTCTTACATCTCCTGCACTGGCAGGTGGGTTCTTTACCACTAGCGCCACCTGGGAAGCCCAACAGCAGATGGAGGTTCCTCCAAAGAGCTTCCTTTTTCCAGGTGGGTATGACCAGGACAGACCTGGGTCTGTGAGACTTTGTGGAGATCCCGAGTGGTGGTGGTGCTGGGGGTTGTCACCGGACGGAACTGCTGCAATGCCACAGGCAGCAATGTGGCTGCTAACGACCAACACACATGCTGTCATTAAAATCCACTTAACTGGATTATGAAAGCAATTTAAAATGACTTCCTTGGGTGAGAGGAAAGCCACGCTTAGGTTCCTCTCTGTTCACTTGCAAGTCATCCCTTGGATCTTAAGCATACTTAAATGGAGCAAGAACAGTTTATTCAAGCGCTCCATGTATTTTTTTTTTAAACTCCATATGCTTTCATTAAACTCCTGCAATGTTCTATTTACCACGAAGAACCACTTGAAGTCCCTAACTTCAACCACTGGTGACAGTCTTTATTTTCATTCTAGTATGGGTTCATAGTAATGGAAAGAGTTCCTTTAATTAACTGACTCACCCACGGCTGCCCTGAGCCCTCACTTGATCTTTTGGGAAAGCACTGCAGAGCGCTTAGCACATAGAGGATGTACTCTGGGAAGATGCTTGGAAAATACAGGAAACGCCATATAAACTCTTCATGATTCCAAATGCAGCTGACCCTCCGTCCCAGGAAGATGCCCTCAGTCTGGGTGGCTGTCTCCTGCAGGGAGTGCTGTCAGAGCGCGTAATGGCCATGTGTGACGCTCAGGCCAGGGGTGACACACCAGTGGGGACACAGCACAGAACATCTCTGGCTTCTCACCAAAGGTGTCTGTTACCTTCTCCACCTGCACCGGGTGGGCCAGAACTCAGAGTCAAAGCACTGCACTTACAATTCTTTGTGGCCAGCTGAGATTTTATACTTTCTCGCCCAGGGACCTTCCCCAAATTTAATATCTGTTCATGGGCAAGCAGGAAAAAAATGCAGCCCAACCACAACCACCACCAGCCCATCACTGGGGACCAGCCTTATTATCCCACCAGGGGCTGCTAATGTGTGTGGCTCTGATTGTTAGGATTTGATACGTTTATGAAGCCGAGATGAGTGCTTTTGTAAACTCTCCCTGGGAAGGTCCTACCCAATTTATTTACTAATTACCAGCCAACTACACATGTCCCTCACTTCTGAATGCTCTGTTAAAGAAAGGAACAAAGATGCCCAACCACATCTGGGATCATTATGAAAAGAGAGGCGCTTTTCAGGTGTTCTCTGTGAGATTCAGGGAGGCATACAAATAATAGGGTTGAATGATTTAAGTCTGACTTCCTAAAGTAGCTAGCAAAATGTGAGAAAAGGAAGGCCTGCTCCAGACCTGATGTGTTCCATGATGTCACTGTCCTGGCACCTGGATATCATTAGATGCTCGAGGTTTTTCTCAGTTGGTAAAGAATTGTCTGCAATACGGGAGACCCAGGTTCAATCCCTGGGTGGGGAAGATCCCCTGGAGAAGGGAATGGCAACCCACTCCAGTATTCTGGCCTGGAGAATCCCATGGACAGAGGAGCCTGGCAGGCTGCAGTCCATGGGGTTGCAAAGAGTCAGACACAAATAAGCGACTGACACTTTCACTTTTGTGTATCTTGGTGTGAACTTTACCATCTGCCCCCTGTTCTCCCCACACAAGCAAGGGGGCCCGTGACAGCCCCTGCGTTCTGTTCACCCTACAAACTGCCAGACACCAAAGGAAGGACACTTGGTTTTGAGGTACACAGGTGACTGGACATCCCAAGGTACTTGACTTTAAGCAAAAATGTCCTTGGCAAGCACACAGGATAAACAAGGGGAATGTTGAAATATCTTACTGCAACCTTCAGTCCTGCTTTCATCCACCATGTAAAAACACAGTATAAAGCAAGCACACACTCGCACACACCTGACTTTCCTCCTCTAATCTTGTTCTGAATCTACCTCCCCCCGCAGGGAACTTGAGCTTTGATGCCAGGAGTCCAGTCGCCTGGCCCAGCCCAGCACCCTAGATGCACCCTAGACACCCTGCTGGAGCTGCCACTGCAGGATCTGGGCCCAAGGATGAAACACATCCTGCACCTACCCTGGTACCTGAAGATGCTGATGCTAT